GAGCTACGATCACAAAGGACCTGTAACCTCCTTTAACCCAGACAATTTCTCATTCTAAGCTCAGCTAACAAATTTTTCTTCTGAGCTGAGATAGTGTATTTAAAGTTGACGAAAGGTCTTCCATTTCGCAAAGCATTTCCCGAGTCTTAATGTTTTCCTTTATTATTAGATAAAAAATAACAGATTTCACAAATCATCAACACATGGGGGAACTAGTAAACTTGGCAACTCGGCGTGAGCATAATATTTCTTCTCGTCCTCATTGTAAATGGTCAAGAAGTCCACATCAAATGTGCGTATACCCTTCGGCAAACGAACCATCACATCGTCACCTTTGTATGAATCCAATGGATCACCACTGAAAACGAAAGAAGATCCGCGGTTTTCTAGTGTGAGAAAATTGAGAGTTGCAAACCCACAGCTCGTATCCAATAGTTCGCGCTTTCGTCTGTTGTATTACATGAGTGATGTTTCCGGTCCCAACAAAGAAGAATGTATCTAAATTTTTCGCAATTAAGCGTTTACTATGAAAGGTAGCAGCAATTGTGATATTCTCAATCATCTGAACGAGGTCTATTGCTATCCTGGTTGAACCGTCAAAACTACTTCCCTAGGCTTCTAGCAGAGGTTTGTAAGCTTCAAGCCTCGTAAAAAAAGTCGAAAACTCACTAGGTGATGCTTGACTCGCCTCGAAGTTAAGCTGAGTAACAAGAATTGTATTACAATTCAATATTCGAATTGTCCCACTAGAAATATTACGATCTTCCGCTACGAGAGAACCAGTTTCCTCTTCTCTTGGCGGATCCACTCCTGTTAGTGAGACTAAGGGAATTGAAATCTAAATTACTAGCAAATTTTCTCTTGAAATATCCTCATAGAAACACTAACATTTTTACACTGATCATATAAGCCAATCCACCTATAGTCCGATAGCCGTCCACCGTTCGTCAGTAGGAACGCGACTTGTTCATCTTGAGCTGGTGGCAGCGAAAAAGATGAGTCGATTATTCCTATAGTCATATTTATGAACATTTCTAGAGATTGTCAACTTCCCATTGTTATTAGACGGTTTTTATAAAAATATTCTATTACTTTCTTTAGTTCTTTTATAAATCTGGTTACGATGAGTTTCAAAGAAATT